AGGCGCCAGGGAGCAAGCAAACAAGAGGGCATGTCAAGGAGGGAAGATGGCAGATTTCTGCATGCTACAGAAGGGGCTGCATGCCATGGTATCAATGTTAATGTGTTTTTCAAAAAATCTCAAGACTTTTTTGTTAAGTGGTTAAAATCCAAATAACAATGTAATCTGTGCTTTTGCAAATTAGCCACAAACCATCTAGTTTCTCAGCAATTACTTGACGTTTTTTATCTACCTCTAAATGTTACTGACCTAAAAAAAAAAAAATCTGATCAAAGGCTGTGGAAATTCTAACCCCTGCAGCAAGTATTAAATTGGTCCACTCTGTGTCCTATGCTGACAAATCGTTATAGTCTAGAGCCTGACGACCCTGAGTGACTCAATTAGATGCACGGATGTGGCAGCAATGTTTTAAAGTTGTCTGCACTTGACTTCATTCCTTTAAAACAACAACCAACCCGCCTACCCCCTTAAAATCTTTCCCAACCTAATACATGGAAATATCTTTCCTTCTATATGCTCCAGAGCAGACATGAGGGCGACTGTACCTTCCAGTAGTCACATAAAATGAGCAAAAGCACCTTTGTGTAATAAATCTCTTTCTTGTAACCAGCTTCCTCCCATATTATGTTTCTCTCTATATTATGAAGATCTGTGCATTTACATGGAATCTTCCTCCTTACCTGTCCCACTCTCCTCCGCCTCAGTCCACAATAGGTCCTGGTTCTCTAGAAGCTTATTGGTTGGGTTAAGGACTTGATAGTGAGCGGCCTGTTGTCAGACGTCAAACCCAACCCCACAAGAAGCCGTGGGAATCTCTGACATCTCTTCCACCATGGAACTGACTGTGTGAGGGAACAATGGAAATGCAATATTCTGAGAATATAACTTGGTATTTTTGGAAAAGGTATTCCTTTCTTGAGAAGTTACCTCTTGGATATGTCTAAACATTACCTTTCACAAAAGATCATATTTTTTTCAACATTAAAGGACATGTCATACATTCCTGTTGTACATACTATAGTACCAATATAAATATTGATGTTGTACATACTACAGTACACAATATAAATACTGATGCAAATTAGATTCAAAAGACATATACCCAGAGGAAAACATGGTTCAAAGGATATATGCATCTCAGTGTTCATTGCAGTACCACTAACAATAGCTAGGACATGGAAGTAACCTAAATGTCCATTAACAGATGAACAGATAAAGACATGGTACATACACACAATATATTCAGTTCACTTCAGTTCAGTCGTTCAGTCATGTCCGACTCTTGGCGACCCCATGAATCACAGCACACCAGGCCTCCCTGTCCATCATCAACTCCCGGAGTTCACCCAAACTCATGTGCATCGAGTTGGTGATGCCATCCAGCCATCTCATCCTCTGTCGTCCCCTTCTCCTCCTGCCCCCAATCCCTTCCAGCATCAGGGTCTTTTCCAATGAGTCAACTACAATATATTACTCAGCCATTAAAAGAATGAAATGATGCTATTTGCAACAACATAGATGGACCCAGAGATTATCATACTAAGTGAAGTAAGTCAGACAAAGACAAATTTCATATGACATTGGTTATATGGGGAATCTAAAAAAATGATACAAATGAACTTACTTACAAAACAGAAACATACTCACAGACTTAGATAATGAGTTTAAGTTCACCAGGGGAAAGGGTAGTGGGAAGGGATAGCCTGAGAATTTGGGACTGACATGTATACACACAAGTTATGTTTAAAACATAAAACCAACAAGTACCTACTGTAAAAAAAAAAAAAAAACAAATGAAAAATAAAGGAAAAAAGACTTTTCTGTCTGGTAAGACATATGATATTACTATTTTTGTGCAGTGTATCCAGTGACAAACAGAGAGAACTTGTTGTCTGGGGATAAGGCAGACTCTTTTCTTGTTTGCCTACTGTATTCTTATTAGAACAGTATTCTGATGCGTGTGTGTGTGTGTGTTTGCACACGTGGCAAACTCTCAGCCTACAGAACCAGCCTGACGCTTCCTGGACAGCTTACAACGGAAACAGCTGACTGCAACTTGTCTCAGTTAACAGAGGTCTAACTGTTTGTTGCTTCAGTAACCACTGAGAGAGTGTGTTTGCTTGAACAAAAGTTAAACCATTTGCCTAATATTTATGGAATGACTCCCTTGTGCACAGTGAGACCTGAAACACTTGTTAGTGCTCTGAACAGTTTCTCCCCACTGAATAGTCTGTAAAAAGTCTCCTTACCTGCCTTCCAGCACCATGTGACTCTGTCCAGAGTGGAGCTGAACTGCTCTGACGTCTCCTTGTGCTGGCTCCAAGTAACCTTGCTGTCTTCCCATCTACTGCTTTTAGACTCACACTTTGTTTGCACTGTGTGTCTGGCACATGACCAATATTTAGGTTTGGATTTTGTCTCTTAGAAGGACACTTCTTTCCACGAGCTCAGGATCAGAGCAGAGACCCAAGCATCCCACTTGTTCAGTGGGGAAAGTTTAGACTTCTGAATGTATTTTAGACTTGACTATGTCACACACCCACAGGTGTGAAGATGGGCTTGCTACAGCTCTGAAAACTAATCATGCAAATGAAACCTGTTACATCTTAAAAGCACAAGCTTTTTGGTTCTCTAAGCCTTGTGGAGGAACTGTGGGAAACACAGTGCCCATGATGCTGAACAAGCAGGCAGGAGTCTCACTGAAATACAAAGACTTGTGGTGAAAGTGAGAAGCGAAGTGTTTTGCTCCCAATCGGCCCTGTTGGATCAGCTCTCTCTGCAGTGGTGTCTCCCACTTAGGGTATATACAGAAAAAGCCACACCTGAGAAAGTAGAAGCAAAGTCATTTCTTTTAGCATTTCTGGCAATTAAGAAAGTTAAGCCTTGATACACAACAATTTCTTAATGTATAGCACAGGGTACTATGGTCAATATTGTGTACTAAGCCATAATGGAAAAGAACATGAAGAAGAATATGCATAGATAAAACCAAATCACTTTGTTGTACTTCAATAAAATATTTTAAAAAGTCAAGCCTTGACTCTCTAGCATGAGTGCACTGACACTTGTAAGCACAACCTCCACCTCATTTTGGAGGTTTCCCTGCTTCTTCTCTTTGCTTTGCCTGCTGCAGATTCCACAAGTAAAAGGCCCACATGACCCCTATATCTCATGGCAAATATCTGACAATTCACTGGGAGAAGAATTGATGATCAACAGCCTGGTGTGAGCATTAAAGAAAACAGATATGAGAAAAATACTCAGCATATAATTTGCACATAGTGAGTACTCAACAAATACTGCTGCTTGCTTTTTCTATAGTTTCAGAGAGGATTTAAAGCAACTTATGAAAATAATCAGAGTCTAACAATGATGTAATTAATGGCTCTGGGCCCTAGAGAAAAATATGGAGAACTTTCTCCTTAAATTTTTCTCTCATCCTACCATCAGCACCACCAGGTACTACACATAAATATGTCTTACAAGGCATTATTTATTTAAATAAATACATCTACTTCTAAAAGTATTTTAGAAGCACTGTGCATACTGTATAACGTCTCCATTGAGTCTGCCACTGTTCCTGGGGTTTAGGTACTTTGAGACAGTGACCAACACCATGGGTTAAGCTGAATCAATGAAAGTTACAAGACTGCCAAAAGGATGGATGTGTCCAATCAGACAGCATATGCCTTGACACATAGAAGATATGTATTGAAACAATGCAAGCAGCTTGATGGAAAACCAAACCAGAAGTAGGAAGCAAATCTTCCATGCATCTGAGCCAGGGAGACTACACTGGAGCTGTAGGAAGTCGGTTTTCCCTTTGTATTGTATGTTACATGAGGTGGCTACGTGATCTGGAGACACTGATGAAGATTATGCCTCCCAGTTCCTTCCTCCCAGTTTATGCAGACATGGAAGTTTTTGGAAGGAGTTGTCACTACCTAGTCAGTTCTCTGAAACAGAAAGACTTGGTGGTGAGAAGAATGCTGGTTTTTTTTTTTTTAATGTAGATTTTTTAAAAGTCTTTATTGAATTTGTTACAATATTGTTTTACAATATTGATTCTGTTTTATGTTTTATGTTTTGGCCACGTGGCAAGATGGCATATGGGATCTTAGCTCCCTGACCAGGAGGGATTGAACTCACACCCCCTGTGATGGAAGGCAATGACTTAACCACTGGACCACCAGGGATATACCAAGAGGACTTTCAGATTCACATCCATTTATGCCACAGCAGCTTCTATTTCTCAGGCAAAACGGACTTAAGACTGAATGATAATGAAAAAACTCAAGTACCCTATTTTTCACTTTACTTCCTGGCCTGGCTATCTGGAAATGGCTTCATATCAACTTAAGTTTCCACTGAGGATCTAATTTTGCATTTATAGGTAAAACTGTGGTGTATGTTATCCCAGTACAGGTTGATCAGCATTAGAGTTCCTGAAAGGGGCCTTTGAATATGATGTGGCATCAACTCTATCTAGTTATGAGTAGAGAGAACCACTGCAGCAGCTTCCTTCACTACCAGCTTGAGAAATTACCATTGAACAAATGATTTGGGGACATCAGAATGAGGATAGTTGGGGTTCTCCTTACTGTGAAGTCAAAACACCCCACAAGCACTTCTTTTAATCCTGAACACAAACTCCATTCTAATTACTTTACTAGCAAGAGCTGAACAGTATGAGATTCACTGTGAAATGAATATTCCCACCATAAAAACCCAGCATATTCATCTTTAAAAAATTTAGCATCTTAATGTGATTCATGACTTAGTCACCTTTTGTACCACTTTCTGTTTGATTATAATTTTATCTATTAATCATGTTAATCCAATAGACTCTGCCTTAATCAAATGTGAGTCAATTACCCAGTTCTTCAAATTATATTTTTTAATGAAAGACATTTTTTAAAATTGAATGCCAATTAGGGCCAAGCCAAACTTGTTCACAAAGTTTGGGTTATCACAGAACAGTATGAGCCCTTGACTATACCTGTATTTTCAGCTCTTTCCGATGAGGGCGTGCTGTGTGCTTTCAGATACAGTCATTAACCTCTCTGTAATTCCTGTTTTTCCACCTGTGAAAAGAGGATAATGATACTCTGGCTTGGGAAATGATTTTATGACTCTTAGTTGAAAAATGCAACCAGAATACCATTTAAAAAAATGCTTTTTGTAATTTCACTCTTAATTTCTTACCATAAGTGGTTTTGTTTTTCCTTAGCACTGAACTGCTTTTTGACATCGTTAGAGAACTATATATAAATTTACTGAGAGGGAAGTGACTCAGGGTTCCTCCACAACAGTCTTAACTGTGGACAGTGATGGACAGAATGACAAGGATGTTTTATCCACAGGCCTCCAGAAATAAAGTCTAAGAGGACTTCCAGAGCTCTGTGTTGGGAAAAGTTGTAAGGCTTCCTCCTAGTTCAGCAGAATAGAGCTCCTTGCTCCCTTTCAGGAATGGGTAGTGGTGGTATAAGAGCAGACAGAACTAGCTGACAGTGGAAGGGGCTCCATGGATGGGCCTCTGGTGGTGGTGGTGGGGGGGTGGTCCTTGTGCTCCACTGATATTGTGTAGAAAGTAGCATGTGTACATTTCTCTAGAATGGGAGTGCATAGCTATTATTTTAATTTTCAGTAAGATTCTACAAACCAGTCTATCCTAAAGGAAATCAACCCTGAATATTCACTGGAAGGACTGTTGCTGAAACTTCAATACTTTGGCCACCTGAGGCAAACAGCCAGCTCATTGGAAAGGACCCTGATGCTGGGAAAACATTCGTGCTTCTTGATGGACAGCTAGGGACCTGTTGTCAGTTTCCAGATGCTCTATCACCATGGTTCCAAGAAAAATCATTTGTGCTAATTATCACCAAGCAGGGGTGACCTGTGCAGAGAGCTTTTGTTCCATAAAGTGGCCCGGGCAGTTAGCTAGATAAACTGAGATGTTCCAGTCCTTCTGCTAATAAGCTCCTGTGGCCATTCCACCTAGATCAAAGCTTTACATTTCCAAGGGGCTCAAGGCCATGGCAAATAGGTGGGGAAAAAATGGAAATAGTGACAGATTTTTCTTGGGCTCCAAAATCACTGCAGATGCTGACCGCAGCCATGAAATTAAAAAATGCCTTGCTCCTTGGAAGAAAAGCTATGAAAAACCTAGACAGCATATTAAACAGCAGAGACATCACTTCGCTGACAAAGGTCCATATAGTTAAAGTTACAGTTTTTCCAGTAGTCATACATGGATGTGCGAGTTGGACCATAAAGAAGGCTGAGCAATGAAGAATTGATGCTTTTGAACTGTGGTGCTGGAAAAGATGCTTGAGAGTCCCTTGGACAGCAGAGAGATCAAACCAATCAGTCCTAAAGGAAATCAGTCCTGAATATTCATCAGAAGGACTGAGGCTGAACTGAAGCTCGAATATTTTGCCTACCTGATGTGTTGAGCCAACTCATTGGAAAAGACCCTAATGCTGGGAAAGATTGAGGGCAGGAGGAGAAGGGGCAAAGGAGGATGAGATAGTTGAATGGCATCACCAACCCAATGGACATGAGTTTGAGCAAACTCTGGGAGACAGTAAAGGACAGGGAAACCTGGTGTGCTGTAGTGCATGAGGTCGCAGAGTGGGACACAATTGAGCGACTGAACAACGAGACCAGGTGGAACCAAGACTCCACAGGAGTCACTGTTTCTGAGTTGTAAATCAGTGTTAAATGTGAGTGGGCAGAGCTTTTACTTGCATGTGATAAGAATGAAGACCTTTTGCATTCCAATGTTTGTGTGGTCATCTGAGAATCTCACTCTGTTTCAGTGAGGGCCAGGGGTGCAGGGTTATTCACACCCAGGGGGCAGCATAAAACTCCACAGCGCCCCCTGGGAAGCCCTTGGCAAGTATCCAGTGTCCTCTAATTGTCTAGCCATCTTCTTAGTAACTCCGAATGCCTGGATTCTGATGCTCCGCCCACTCTAGCCCCAGCAAGGATGACAAAGAAACTCTTGCACGATAGAAAAAGAGAGACCTGACCATGCTTGCGTTAGATAAACAAACTTTCCCCTCCAAAATTTCTAATTCTCTTACATAAATTTTTAGCAGTGGAATTACAAGGTCAAGTAAATTGAATATTATGAGGCTTCTGACTTCCAAATTGGTTCCACATATTGTATCAGTTTAGGAGTTTATTTCTAGTTGTACTTTTTGTCCTTTGAGGATTGTCTTTTAGATACTTTACATATATTGTTTGGGGCTTTTCTGCATCTGTGTGAACTCTACATACTAAAGATGACAGCTCTCTGCCATATCTGCTGCAGATATTTTCCTAAGGTTATTGGGAATTTTCTCTCTTTATATCCTTTTTTCTTTTGTGACTTCCCTGGTCATTCTATTTCAATAAATATTTATTAAGTGTGTATAATGTACTAGGCATTGTGGTGGGCTTAAACATAAATAACACATGAAACCTGGCCTCCAAGAGCTTGCAGTCTATGTGAGGATGTGAGGGCATAGACAATTTCAATATATTGGATTGGGGGGACTTTCACTTCTGGAATTCTGCTGATAAGGTGCTCAAAGACTCCCTTAGACTGCAGAACAGTGCAGAGATTCTGGATTTAAACCCTAGAAAGGACACACTTGTAGAAGTATTACTAAGTTTATAAGAAGTACAGAAGGTCTCTGAAGAGCCCTGCCTATTAGAAAACAGGAAAGGCAGAAAAACTGTGAGGTGAGACTGGATAAAGCCATAATGACTGTGGCTGGCGGCAAGGGGGAGGGTGGTTTCTTGATAGCAACTCTACCTTTTATACATGACTATCGAGCCTTGGGGTCCTAGGTGGCTCAGTGGTAAAGAATCCACCTGCCAAGGCAAGAGATGCGCATTTGATCCCTGGGTCATGAAGATCCCCTGGAGAAGGCAACTGTAACTCACTCCAGGATTCTTGCCTGAGAAATTTCATGGCCTGGGGAGCTATCCATGGGGTCGCAAAAGTGAGACACAACACAGGGACTAAACAACAACCTAGCCTTGGGCCAGCAGGAATGGGAAAACTGACCCACACTGTCCTTAGACCTGTGCAAAAGGGGACCCTATATTCAGCCCTTGTTTTTGAGAAGTCTCTAGGTTTAATATACATGTACATGTACATGTTAAGGACACACACTCAGTACTGGCACAGCATGACATACCTTATACAACCACTCTCAAGACTAACTTCATTAAGGCACCAGGGAAACAAACACTTGAGGTGGGTTGCATCTAAACAAAGAGTGATAAAGTCTATATGTGGGGATGTTTGTTGGAGATGGATCTGCTTTAGAAGGTAGGAAGCATTTGAAGGTTGGAAACCTTTAGATAAAACAAAAGATAAATTTATCAACTTGGTAAATCCTTTCCTTTGGAGTGAATTCAATAAGTTGTCACACAGTCAACTATGACTCAGCCATCTCAATCATCCATTTTTTTGGGTGTCTTTTTTGGTCTAATTTATGGCTCAGCATGGACTAACAANAATCCTTTCCTTTGGAGTGAATTCAATAAGTTGTCACACAGTCAACTATGACTCAGCCATCTCAATCATCCATTTTTTTGGGTGTCTTTTTTGGTCTAATTTATGGCTCAGCATGGACTAACAAATTAGCACTGTATTTGCAACCAATGCATGTGGCTGTAGAAGAAATTTTCCAGTACTAAACAATTCGCATTGCTCTCATAGATGTGTGAACTTCAATACACTTCATGTGACATGTAATATCTATGGATTCTTTACATTAGAAACTAGGGAAACACTGAGCACAAGAATTACAAATGATTTTATATTATACAAATACATAATAATAATTTAAAAATTTAAATTATATTTAGAAATTTTCAGTTTCTTGAAATAAGAAACTGAATTATGTATATCATTTTGACTGGCAAATATTTATATGTATACTTTGAATGCAATTTAGGAGAGTGAAAAAGTTGGCTTAAAGCTCAACACTCAGAAAACTAAGATCATGGCATCCATCCCTATCACTTCATGGGAAATAGATGGGGAAACAGTGGAAACAGTGGCTGACTTTATTTTTTTGGGTTCCAAAATCACTGCAGATGGCGACTGTAGCCAAGAAATTAAAAGATGCTTACTCCTTGGAAGGAAAGTTATGACCAACCTAGATAGCATATTAAAAAGCAGAGACAATTTGTCAACAAGGTCCGTCTAGCCAAGGCTATGGTTTTTCCAGTAGTCATGTATGGATGTGAGAGTTGGATTATAAAGAAAGCTGAGCACTGAAGAATTGATGCTTTTGAACTGTGGTGTTGGAGAAGACTCTTGAGAGTCCCTTGGACTGCAAGGAGATCCAACCAGTCCATCCTAAAGGAGATCAGTCCTGGGTGTACATTGGAAGCACTGATGCTGAAGCTGAAACTCCAGTACCACCTCATGTGAAGAGCTGACTCGTTTGAAAAGACCCTGATGCTGGGAAAGATTGAGGGCAGGAGGAGAAGGGGATGACAGAGGATGAGATGGTTAGATGACATCACCAACTCAATGGACATGAGTCTGGGTAAACTCTAGGAGTTGGTGATGGACAGGGAGGCCTGGCGTGTTGCGGTTCGTGGGGTTGCAAAGAGTCAGACACTATTGAGTGACTGAACTGAACTGAACTGATTTATCTTTTCTATCAGTGTTGATAGAAAAGAACATCCTTAATATATCATAAGTGATTTTTCTGAAATAAAGACAAGAAAGATAAGTTATTATATACTTATTTCATAAAAATTAAGAATTGTATAAGTCCCTATTTCTCAGCCAAATCTCACTAAACTATCTGAAGGATACTCAGATTTGTACAATAATAAATTTCACTTGTTTCTACCATTTTGTCTACCATTTATATATTTCGGTCATATAAAAGCCATAGTTTTACACATAATTCTCTGCTTGGTTGCATGAATGTATAGTTCTCAAAGTAGGGAAGTGGAACAGATTTTGTGTACCAGGTTAATTTATAATTTTTAAGCATTTAGATATAAATATGGTCCTACTCCAGTCACCATGCATGTTAGGGGCAGACTTGCCTAGGTTTTCAAG